CAGTGTACAACATGCATCTCCAAGAGGCAATTAAAGCATGGAGCATTTCCTGAGCTTCGCTGTGGAACCCTCTGTGCCATCTCCATGGAAGTTGCTCTGTGAAACTCAACTTTTTCCTCCAACCAAACTCGCCTGTTGTGATCACCTGGACTCATTTTGCTTTCCGGCTTTTATACAAAGGAGTTCTGTGAAATGCCAAACAAGTGGTGCTGGTGCTGTGGCACAGCTTGGCTGCAGGCACTATCTAATTTTATAAAAATGTCCATTAAGTTGGGTTTTGAGTTTGCATGTCTGAACTGTAGGTATCATAAAAATAGACTGTGGAGTCAGTACAAGGGCTTGAGTCATGTTACAAAATATAGAACTCTTTTTTAAATAAATCCATTTAGTAACCCTGCTCGCTGGTCTGAGAGGCAGGAGCCCCGGCCCCACACCACCAGCGCACTCAGCCGAGCCTAAGCAAGGAGACGAGCGGTGGGCAGCGGGCAGAGGGCTGGCAGTTGGCAGATTCCCATTCTTTCTTGCCTTCTTTTCCAGGACGACTAACACCAGGTCATCTCAGGGGCCCAAAGAAAGGGAGGTGCTCTCATCCTGGCTCTGGTGAGTCGCCCTGTGGCTGCAAGGACAGAAGGCGGGGGAGCTTAGCACCCCCCTGTGACCCTGCCAGAGGGAGGACCACCACCAAAGCTGTCGGTGAGAGGAGCATCTTAGCAGCTGTGAATGAGAGGAGGAAGGGAGGGGGTGCGGCCAGGCCACAGCTATGATTTCAAAGTCTGTTTAAGAGATGTCAAATCCAGACAAAACACTAGCTGTGAGCACACGTGGATCAGGGCCTCTGGAGATCAGGAGAGGTCAGGAGAGGACAGGCCGGTCAAACTTTGTCCTGAAGATTCACGTCACGCATCTGTGCAGTGGTCTATGGGGCAGACTGTGCTTTGAGCACATTTTTCAGAGCAGAGGAAGTAGCTGCTGTTCTTGGTCCCCCTAAATGATCATGCCTGGCATCAGCATGCGCTGGGCCTCTGTGGTGGAGGACTTTCGGCATGCAGACAAGCCACTGGCAGTGACCACGGGGCCACACCCTTGGGCTATGGTGAACGTCACAGCTGCTGAGACAGTGAAAGGACACCCGTCTGGGTGCCAGAGATGCTGGGAGGCCCATGCCAGGTGGCCCCATCAGGCGGGCAAGGCCACCCACAGTCATGCTGCCTGCTCCAGGCCATTCTGCTCCTCTTCCTCCGTCTGTAACCAGCTCCAGTCTAGAGACTGAAAGTCAACAGGCATGTTAAAAATACAGTGGCCACCAACACAGGATGTTTTTCTTCTGGAGGCAATCAGCATAATTTAGAAGGACATGTAAATCCTCTCATTAATAGCAGCCATATTATTGCAGGGTACTCTTGGGCCGAAGCTACTTATTCAAAACCATACAGGACTGGCTTGGAGCCCGAGATCCAGTGGCGATGGAAACTGCAAAGGCAATTTTAGAACTGCCTGTAGCTCACAGCACTTACTGTTAAGCTCAGTGTGGGCAGGTGGTACCAGGAGCTAACCTCAGCTATAGGATTCCAACCTTACGATGCAATGGCCTGGGGAGACTTCCTTTCCCTCTGGCAAAAGTGCAGATAAGCAGTGAGATGCCCAAATGATGCAATGCCAGGGAGGAAGAGCGGCAGCAGGAGGTAAAGAAGCTTGAATAAATAAGAGGTGACTACAGTTAGCAGCCCTATTGCCTGATTCTTCCAAACCCTGAGAGGTCAGGGTGGGGGAGGCCACAGGTGGCTGCACTAGCAGGAAATGGCTGTTCAAAAATCTAAGGGAACAATTTAGGATCCTCCCAGCAACTTATCTGTACCTTGAGTCGCTTTTCATTAGGTTACCTTCCCTCTAACTAGTACTACCTTCTGTTGAGCTCTGGGTCCCTGAGAGGCAGGGCTGTGACAGGCTAGGGTTTTAGCCCCGAGTCCAGCACAGTATCCCCCCAACCCCCAACCCCAGCAGATGCTCAGCAATGGTACAAAAGTTACAGGGAGAGAAAGACCTTCTGGAATGATGTTACCTTCCTTGTAAGGATTGTTATAAGGATTAAATGAAATAATGCACATACAGTGCTTGTGCCCGTTCAGTAATGATTCGCATTGTTATTACTAGGAATACTAATACATATGTATACTAGAAAATCGTTACGTGTATACTGAGACGGAGGAAAGGCTGGACTGCCTCTCTGTTTTCTTTCTTCTCATTTGCTGTAGAAAGAAAGGACATGGAGTAGCTGGGATTCACACAGGCCATTACCCTTAAACTCTGGTCCCGCTCTGTCATGGTGTCTTGTATTACATTTTCTAACTGGCTGCAGAGGGTATGTGCTTCAGCCACCAGGTCTTCACTAAAGAAAATGAGCGAATGATTAGGAAGTGGTCAGTATTATTTTTTCAGAGACAATATTCTGTTTAAAAATCTGCTACAAACTTTTGACAAGATTTAAAAAATTAAATAACAGCTACTTCGATGATGAGTGTCTTAAAACACCATGCCATTGACTAGTGATTTCATTCATCCCGTGCAACACTTTTCAGAAGCCCAAACTGCCATGAGCACTGCTGTTCACAGCGTGAAGGGGCAAGGAGATATCTGCTTAACAAAGAAGTCAGCAGTACACCAGCTCTGACTTAACTAGATAGCTGACTTTAATTCTTTCCAAACTGCCAAAATCTGAAGACAGCTCCTAAATCACCTGTTTTCCAATTTTTGGCATGGAAAAGAGTGTGAAGCCCAAGCAACTGCCCCAGGTTTCCGTGGCTCCTTGAGATCTGCGGAAAAGCAAGTGCTGGGCACTGATCTCACTTTGTCTTCTCTCTGTTCTGTGATAAGCAATGTGCGTGTCCCATGAAGGACGGGCCTCAGAAGAAGAGAGAGTATAATTAAGCCGCCTCTTCTTCTCTAACCTCAGCTCTATGTCACGGACAGACAGAAGGCAACCTATGCTCCCGAGACTTTTCTAGAGCCTTGAGGACAGGGGAGTGCATATGCCTCGCCCAGGAAGACGGCGCTCTGGGATTCCTCCCACCTCGCAAACGGGACAATCTGATGGAAGAGACGCAGAGCACGTTTTTGCTCAGCCTCATTGACAGGGCTACTGACTAGGTCAAAGGCTCCGTGCCTGCTCCAGGGAGCAACGTAAGAGGCACAGGACCTGGTTACTATTCTCAAAGGGCTCTCAGGAGGCTGGGGAGAGAATTAAGAATCTAGGCCACGTATGATTAAGTACCAAAACAGTATAGGCTAAGAACTCCCCAAGGGCAGGAACAAGATTTTTAGAAACAGCTTTACTGAGAGACAATTTACATGCCATGAAGTTAACCCACTTAAAGTGTGCAATTAATAGTTTCAGTGTATTTACAGAGTTTTGCCATCATCACAACAATCTAGTTTTAGAACATTTCCAAAATCCACAGAGAACTGGCACCCATCGTCAGTCACTTCCCTTTCTCCTCCCTACCTGACCCAGGCAATCAGTAACCTAGTTTTTATGTCTATAGATTTGCCTACAGGAACCGATTTTAATCGACTCTGGTGTCCACGGCCTGATGCCTAGAATGTGTTGAATAAATGGGTGTGGACTGAACTAGAAAGAAATGGAAAAAAACCCACAGGTGGTCCAAGAAGAGGCAGACCCGTGTGTGTGGTGGGGAGGAAGAAGGGAAGGGAAGTGTCAGGGCTTCGGAGGAGGAGGGGGAAGCAGCGGGACGCAGGTGTGCCCTGCAGATGGAGGACTGCTCCGGGAAGGGCACTGGCACAGCAGTGGCTCCTGAACTTTCCTGAGTGCCAGCATCGGCCAAGGCCGGCAGAGCACCACTGCTGTGCCCATCCCTGAGCATCTGGTTCGGAAGCTGCATTTCCAGCAAGTACCCAGACGGATCAGGCTGAGAACCGCTGGGCTAGCGCAGGGTGTTTGTACGGGGACAGCGCATCAGCCACTCTGTGGAGCGTGGCTCTGTGTGGGGGCTGCAAATGCCCCAAAGGCTCAGGCTTGAGCCTCCAGGAGTGGGAAGCTGCTACTAGTTACTGACCAGGGAATGACTTGACCAAAGCAGTATTTTGTGAAGATGAATCTGGCCAGCGAGGACTCTAGTGCAACATGAGGCAGGAAGGAGGGAGGCAAAAAGCCTTGCCAGAAGGGCAGACATGTTCTGTCACCATCTCTGTGGCAGCTGTCCAGCGGCAAGAGGGGGAAGGAGCCGGCAAATAGCAGCCAATGGGGAACACGGTGGCCTGGGACCTCAAAGTGGTGTTGGGTGAGGGGTAGGAAACACATGACTGGTGTGATGGAAACTGGTTTTGAAGAACTGATAACGATAGAGGGACCATGTGGCTGACTAGCACTTCCAGTATTTTCATTGAGCAATTAGTAACCCAATCCTCAGAAGGGGAAACTCTGAGGTGGCAAGTTGCAAGGGACTATGAGAGCCAATTATCCCATATGTCCCCACAGGGCACATGCAATGAACACAAAGGAAAAGGTACACACAGTTGCCAGCCAGATGCAATGGTCTATCCATGATACACGTGCCTTCCGTCCCAATGACGGCCTGTTGTGCCCTTGAGTAATTACTCTTGGCACTTGACAGTGACTTACCTTTTCTTGATGGACTCGGGTAAGCTGTTGGGGGCAGCGGAGGGCTGGGACATCAGCTGAGCAGGGTGGCTGAGACGAGCAGCGCTCATGCTGTCTGGGCTTCCACTGACAGGCCCCCGGACTTTGCTCTGAAGGACAAAACCAAAGGAAAGTCAACAAAAGTTTGGAGTGAAGTGGGGCATCAAACTCTGCATTCACACCATGTTATTTTATCATGAGGGAATTGGCCATGAGGCAAGAGCTCTTCCTAGAGAATGTCAGGTACCACCTCCACCCATGACTAGGGCTGGGGGTCTGCACTTCAGCTTAGAAAATATTTCTATATCTATAGATGTACTCTTTTGATAAAAGATTCTAAGTACAGGGAGATCTGGGTGCCTGTATTTGAAGCCTCTGCTTCATTAGTTTGATTGTGTAATGAAGTCTTACAAGGAAATTAAAAGGGAGATATTTTTACACTTTTCCAAGTACAAGACTGAAAGACACACAGAAAGGTTCTAAGTGACTTTCTGTGGATTGCACCGTCTGAGACAGTGGGGAAGAGAACCAATATGTGCTGACTCCTGCACTGCTGCAGCCGCTCCCCCTCAGTCAACATGTCAAATCACTGGTTCCGGCTCCAGCTGCACGCACCTCCTCACACCTGCAGGACCCACTGCCAACCTCCTCAGCACCTCACGCCCCTCCTCCGGGAGTCTCCAGCCAGTGCAGGTCTTCAACCTCTCAGCTCTCCAGCCTGGCTCCACATCCTCCCTTCCCGCTGAACATCAAGGTCCAGCTTCAACCAGCCTTGCCAGCACCCGATTTTGCCCCATTTTCCGTCTTTCTGCTGTCTTCCCTGCTGGCCATCCCATGGAAAGCAGCCACCCGCCCCCTCGTGCTTGTGTTGCTTGGCTCCCAACCCTTCTGCCATCCCGTCTGGTCCACTGGGGCGACTTGACCCCGCGCTGCCACGGTCTCAAACCCGTTCTCCAGCTGCCATCAGAGTCATTTCTTTAAGACCCAAACGTGACCATACTGTTCCCAGACTTAATGTCCTTCAAGGTGAGGAAAAAACAAGTCCTACAGTGTTTTCTCTATGCCTTCAAAGTCAAGTGCCACCTGCATTAGCTAGCCCTTGCCTACCTTTCCGATTTCATCCCCACTGACGCCGCTGGCCCTGCACCACACATCTGCTTACAGCACCCGGAATATAACCGAGTGACTAAGCGGCCACTCCGCCTCCACACTCTGTCTCCTGTGCTGCCTTAGTCTCTGGGCCAAAAGGGTGAAACAAAAGAAGAGCTTCTGCTCAGCCCTGCACACAGGCTTGTCGATCATCAACACGAACTGAGCTCACAGCCTGAGGTTTCTGTAAATAGCCGCTTACCTAAAGTGCCCTTCCTCCAGGAGATAGGAAAATAGGTATGAAAATAACAATTGCCCGGTCAAAGGGTTTTAGGAACATCGTGGCCAGGCCTGGGTCAGCAAGAGTCACCTGACCAAGGACACGGAGTTCCCCAGCTCTCCTCCCTACCTCCTCCTTTCCCCGTGGGGACCCTCACCTCTAAGACGGAAGCTGGCGTGCCTCCTCTGCATCCACGCGGCCGCTCACGCTGACTACGGCTGCTGCTCAGCTTCCTGCTCTGAGCTGCTCTCATGCTCTGCCCTGTCTGTGCCCCTCCCCAGGCCACACACCGTGCTCTCTTCCTCCTGCACCTCCAGTTCTCATCACACAGCTGGGCGTACTGTCAGTGCTCAATAAGCGCTGAATGAATGCAGATGGCAGACCAGACCGTTGCTTGTGAATAACTCAACTTCCCTCCTCTCCTCCTTTCATCTTCTCTGTCTTGTCGTCTCTCTCTTTTCCTCCTTCCTTACAGGAGGAAGTCACTCACCCTCCCCAAGGCCAACCCTGCCCATCTGCCCCCGGTGCCGACCCCTCCGCTGTTCTCAGGACTTGGAGACCCAATTGTCTCCTATCTCTCAGATACTGCAAATCTCCAGGTACATTGTGTGGGTAAAACTGTACTATTTTCAGAATATCTCGCCTAGCTTTAGTACACCTGCATATAATAGGTGTTTAGAGGTGGAGTATGGCTTTTAGTGCATTTGCATCATTCCTCAGGCGTGGAGAGAAGTTCATCTCCATTTCAATGGTTAATACCTAGGCAAGAAGGGCCAGTTTTGCTGTTGCTGAAGCAGGAAAGAGAGAAATGGCCCCAGACTGCAGTTTGTAAGCAATAAACGGATTTTAAACTTTATTTCTCCCTTTGACTGATTTCGGTTTATAGAGGTATTTCACCCTGGGATTTACTCTCCCTGGACTTACACACTGTCTGCTGCTTGGCTTATAAATATGCTCTAGTGTGATCTCAAAAAAACACCACCTTTGTACCCTGCTTCTGCGTTCAGCAACTGCCTTCCCATTCTCTTTGCTCTCGAAGGCTGTCAACAACCAGCTGCTCTTCCCATCCTCCCACCTCTCTGCAGCCTCCACACTGGAGGTCACTCCCACCAGCTCTGGCTCTTTCTATGGCTTTACTGGGCTCTTCTACTTTCTCTGTCCTGGGCTCTCTTTGTGTTATGTTTTCTTGCTAAGCAGCTTTCAGTGGAATCACAACGACATTGAGATGGGGACACAGAGGGCATGGGTGACAATAGTAAATAAGCAGCACAGACCCAGATGCGCGTCCACCAGGTCACACTGACATGCCCCGTGGTGCCTGCTGCATGGAGGCTCCCTAAAAAAGCCCTCCGTGTCCTAACTCCAAGACCCTGGGAATGTGATTGATGAGGTAAAAGGGTCTTTGCAGAAGTAGTTAAGGATCCCAAGAGGAGATCACCCTGGACTTCTCGGGTGGGGCCTAAGTATAATGACAAGGTACTAAGGAGAGACACCCAGAAGACACACTCGGAGGTGGTCGTGTGAAGGCAGGCAGAGGCAGGAGTGATGCAGCTACCTGCTGAGGAACGCCAGGGGCCACCAGAAGCCGGAAGAGGCAGGAAGGACTCTCCCCAGGAGCCTCAGAAGCAGTCCAGCCCTGCCGACACCTGGATTTTGGACTTCAGGCCCCTAGAACTGTGAGTGAGTAACTAACTGTGTGGTGACTAATTAGTGGCCACAGGGAACACATACACACCTAAATCAAACCAACTTCGCCCTGCCCTGCTCACTGTAAGTCCCAGAGACAAGAAACGGAAATTGAGCCTCTTCCTGCTCCCCTGCAGGGGGCTGACAACAGCACGGGGGAGGGCCTGGGGCCTGGCCCGGGGCTCACTCACACAAGCAATCTTCAAAAGATTCCAGAGCTCCTTCTGCCGCTTCTCCTGAAGCCGAACCACAGTCTTCTCATCCTCATTCATTAAACTCACCACCTCTTCCACTTTGGGCAACAATTCCAGAGCTTTCTGCTTGCAAACCACAGTTTTACTGTAAAGAATAAACATGACAAACTTCAGTGGCCTTTCAGCTGGACAAAGTGACAGAACATAACCCCAGGTGCTTATGAATCCAATCAGCTGCTGCAGATGACATTTCTCCAGGTGGTTAAGCAGATCGGGGCCCAGTGAGGAACGGGCCTCCCATACTGGCTCGCTGGCTCTACACATTCCACCCTCAGCGGGGGAAGCCTGTGATCAGGGCTGGTACCTGAGCTGCGTGTAAATCACTCGCACTTTCTTCTCAAAGCCTTGGATTGCCTGGAGCAGCAGCCGTACCATTTCCTGACTGTCCCCATCAGTTCGCTGGTCTGCAGAGAGGAAGGAGGTACACAGTCCCTCAGGCTGGCAGGCAGTGACAACGCCCACACCCAAGGTGACAAGGGACCAAGGTAGCATGATGCTCCCCTTACACTTCAAAGTCAAGTGCCACCTGCATTAGCTAGCCCTTGCCTACCTTTCCGATTTCATCCCCACTGACGCCGCTGGCCCTGCACCACACATCTGCTTACAGCACCCGGAATATAACCGAGTGACTAAGCGGCCACTCCGCCTCCACACTCTGTCTCCTGTGCTGCCTTAGTCTCTGGGCCAAAAGGGTGAAACAAAAGAAGAGCTTCTGCTCAGCCCTGCACACAGGCTTGTCGATCATCAACACGAACTGAGCTCACAGCCTGAGGTTTCTGTAAATAGCCGCTTACCTAAAGTGCCCTTCCTCCAGGAGATAGGAAAATAGGTATGAAAATAACAATTGCCCGGTCAAAGGGTTTTAGGAACATCGTGGCCAGGCCTGGGTCAGCAAGAGTCACCTGACCAAGGACACGGAGTTCCCCAGCTCTCCTCCCTACCTCCTCCTTTCCCCGTGGGGACCCTCACCTCTAAGACGGAAGCTGGCGTGCCTCCTCTGCATCCACGCGGCCGCTCACGCTGACTACGGCTGCTGCTCAGCTTCCTGCTCTGAGCTGCTCTCATGCTCTGCCCTGTCTGTGCCCCTCCCCAGGCCACACACCGTGCTCTCTTCCTCCTGCACCTCCAGTTCTCATCACACAGCTGGGCGTACTGTCAGTGCTCAATAAGCGCTGAATGAATGCAGATGGCAGACCAGACCGTTGCTTGTGAATAACTCAACTTCCCTCCTCTCCTCCTTTCATCTTCTCTGTCTTGTCGTCTCTCTCTTTTCCTCCTTCCTTACAGGAGGAAGTCACTCACCCTCCCCAAGGCCAACCCTGCCCATCTGCCCCCGGTGCCGACCCCTCCGCTGTTCTCAGGACTTGGAGACCCAATTGTCTCCTATCTCTCAGATACTGCAAATCTCCAGGTACATTGTGTGGGTAAAACTGTACTATTTTCAGAATATCTCGCCTAGCTTTAGTACACCTGCATATAATAGGTGTTTAGAGGTGGAGTATGGCTTTTAGTGCATTTGCATCATTCCTCAGGCGTGGAGAGAAGTTCATCTCCATTTCAATGGTTAATACCTAGGCAAGAAGGGCCAGTTTTGCTGTTGCTGAAGCAGGAAAGAGAGAAATGGCCCCAGACTGCAGTTTGTAAGCAATAAACGGATTTTAAACTTTATTTCTCCCTTTGACTGATTTCGGTTTATAGAGGTATTTCACCCTGGGATTTACTCTCCCTGGACTTACACACTGTCTGCTGCTTGGCTTATAAATATGCTCTAGTGTGATCTCAAAAAAACACCACCTTTGTACCCTGCTTCTGCGTTCAGCAACTGCCTTCCCATTCTCTTTGCTCTCGAAGGCTGTCAACAACCAGCTGCTCTTCCCATCCTCCCACCTCTCTGCAGCCTCCACACTGGAGGTCACTCCCACCAGCTCTGGCTCTTTCTATGGCTTTACTGGGCTCTTCTACTTTCTCTGTCCTGGGCTCTCTTTGTGTTATGTTTTCTTGCTAAGCAGCTTTCAGTGGAATCACAACGACATTGAGATGGGGACACAGAGGGCATGGGTGACAATAGTAAATAAGCAGCACAGACCCAGATGCGCGTCCACCAGGTCACACTGACATGCCCCGTGGTGCCTGCTGCATGGAGGCTCCCTAAAAAAGCCCTCCGTGTCCTAACTCCAAGACCCTGGGAATGTGATTGATGAGGTAAAAGGGTCTTTGCAGAAGTAGTTAAGGATCCCAAGAGGAGATCACCCTGGACTTCTCGGGTGGGGCCTAAGTATAATGACAAGGTACTAAGGAGAGACACCCAGAAGACACACTCGGAGGTGGTCGTGTGAAGGCAGGCAGAGGCAGGAGTGATGCAGCTACCTGCTGAGGAACGCCAGGGGCCACCAGAAGCCGGAAGAGGCAGGAAGGACTCTCCCCAGGAGCCTCAGAAGCAGTCCAGCCCTGCCGACACCTGGATTTTGGACTTCAGGCCCCTAGAACTGTGAGTGAGTAACTAACTGTGTGGTGACTAATTAGTGGCCACAGGGAACACATACACACCTAAATCAAACCAACTTCGCCCTGCCCTGCTCACTGTAAGTCCCAGAGACAAGAAACGGAAATTGAGCCTCTTCCTGCTCCCCTGCAGGGGGCTGACAACAGCACGGGGGAGGGCCTGGGGCCTGGCCCGGGGCTCACTCACACAAGCAATCTTCAAAAGATTCCAGAGCTCCTTCTGCCGCTTCTCCTGAAGCCGAACCACAGTCTTCTCATCCTCATTCATTAAACTCACCACCTCTTCCACTTTGGGCAACAATTCCAGAGCTTTCTGCTTGCAAACCACAGTTTTACTGTAAAGAATAAACATGACAAACTTCAGTGGCCTTTCAGCTGGACAAAGTGACAGAACATAACCCCAGGTGCTTATGAATCCAATCAGCTGCTGCAGATGACATTTCTCCAGGTGGTTAAGCAGATCGGGGCCCAGTGAGGAACGGGCCTCCCATACTGGCTCGCTGGCTCTACACATTCCACCCTCAGCGGGGGAAGCCTGTGATCAGGGCTGGTACCTGAGCTGCGTGTAAATCACTCGCACTTTCTTCTCAAAGCCTTGGATTGCCTGGAGCAGCAGCCGTACCATTTCCTGACTGTCCCCATCAGTTCGCTGGTCTGCAGAGAGGAAGGAGGTACACAGTCCCTCAGGCTGGCAGGCAGTGACAACGCCCACACCCAAGGTGACAAGGGACCAAGGTAGCATGATGCTCCCCTTACCTCTTGGTTTCTCCCTTAGTCGCCTGTAAAGCTCCCTCGCTTGTTCTTCTCTGAAATAGAGAAAGAAGCTGTCTAGATTTGAGGTCAAATAAGCACATTTGAAGCTCTGGTTAACTAATTCCTGCCAGCAGAATTACTGATTTCTAGAAGCAAGATGGGCAATATGTCTTGATTGGGGAAAATGATTATTCCTAGTGGTAGAATAGGCGATTTCTATAACAAGCGGTTGATCATCCTCATTATCAAAACTCAAACATCTTTAAGGTTTAATGAGAGAACCTTGGAAAGGAGTCTCTGCTCGGTGCCTCAGAACCCCCCATCCGTGGGCTTCTGCGAGTGACTGCAGATGCCATTCCTGGACCTAAGCCCACAGAACAGGGCCTGCCTTGGAAACTCAAGCCCGAGGACAGACGAATTCCTATCCTCTTTTTCCCTCTAACACTGCAAAAATGGCTGACATTTTCAGAGGTGAGTTTCACTTGAAAATTAGAGGAGAATAAGGGGTTAAATAATTTGAGAAAATACGGAATATAAATAATCAGATTTCTGATCCCTGGGCCTCTTGTCCTGAGAACACTCGTAAAGCATCAGAGGACTCCGCTGAGCCCTGAGAGGCTGAGGAAGCGCACCTGCCACCCCAGCCCGTCTGTCCCCAGGGGCTCTGTGCCATTTCCTTCAGGTAGGACTGCTCTGCCTGGGCGCCTCACTCCTCCCGGAGCTGAGTCAACACCTCGTAAAGACTCACTCAAATGCACAGTCCCCAAGTCCACATTTCTAAGATTTGCCAGGCTCCTCCTCTGTTCGACCTTCCGCTGTGGGAGCCACGCCTGGGTCAGGGTGGGCTCGACAGGTGGTGGCGGCCACGTGCTCTACAGCCTTTGACTTCTATGAGCCATCTCACCACGCATCATCCGAACAGACCCTCATGAGTGTGAGGTCAGTTTTCCTCACCACTTAATAGCCATGGACTAAGGCTCAGAGTGACGGGGATTTGCCCTTGCGCGACTTGGGAGCACACTGAGGTGACCCACCAGGTGGGGCACGCTTGATGGGAGATGGCCTCACAGAGCTCCCCTAATAGCCATGCTTGATCTCCCAGGTGTCCCAGCCCACAGGAGACTCCAGCTGGGGCGTCTGCGGGGGTGGGGGCGGCGCCTGCTCTGTACCCCACGGACACTCACAGGTCGTCCAGCGTACCCCCCTGCTTCCGGCCCATGGGGCTCCTCTGCAGGTCCACGATGTCGGTCTGCAGGGCCATCATCCGTTCCACCAGGTGTTTCACGTCATTCTCCTGGTGAAAAAGCTGTGCTAATATCAACTGACATAATGACAGCATTCTGAGATGCAAGGGCTTCAGGGAAAGCCCTCCAAACTCACTCACTGGCTAGGAGGAGTGTGGACTCTGGCGTCAGCGGGACCTGGTTAAGACCTCGGATCTGTGACCCTGGGACAACCTACCTAACCCCTGAGCTGCTGTTTCCTCCACCATGAAATGGGGCATGGGTGGGGGACAGATATGATGTCGTATGTAAAGTAGCTGGCAAGGTGCCTGGCATACAGAACATGCCCAATGCACACTCTTGTTTTTTCTTGTAATTGGTCCATCCCAATGCCACCCTGTGCAGGGCAGCCTGGACACCTTTACTGCACAGGTTAGGAGTGCCCAGATGGGGCACAGCTCTCCCCATCGCGATGGTTACATCAAGTATTACCTACATCATATCCACCTTTAGGCACATATATTGGCCATTGATTTATAGAAACAGACAGAGAGGTGAAGGTCCTTGCCCAAGTTCACAGCAGGAAATGGTAAAAAGGTCCAGAAAGAGGCCTCAGAGCTCCAGGCCTCCGATCTGTGGGTTCACAAAGTCACACTTACTTCCTTTGCCTTGTAATCAACATTTTCCAGTGGCATCTGATTACACTGTCCTAAGACTTTCTGCTTAGTCCTTTTGTTTGGATTTAGTATCCCAACAGAATCTGGGACCCCGTGGCCCTTCATCCCAGGCCCTTTCTAACAGGAAGGGGTCTAGGTTTCCCCTGCTCCTTTCACTTCACATTTTGCTCCTTATTCAAATCTGGACCAGCTCTGTGCATCTGTGCAACTCCTAGATCTGCCACAGTGCCCGCCACCCCCCACCCCACCCCCGACTGGCTGCTCCCCCAGCCTCTTCCCAGCAGGCCCTAGTTAGGGTCCAATATCATGGCCAATAGTGCACTGGGCATGTTCTATATACCGGAACTTGGTTTCTGACATGGAAGACTGAACCTAGCATTTAAGGAGAAAGTGGGAATGGCAGTAAGAAGCCTTACCCGCCCAGGCCCGTAAGGATATGAATCTAAAATGAGTCTCCTACCCGCCCGCAGAGCTCCACAGCCTGTTCCATGTCCCTCCAGGCCAGCAGCAGTTTGTCTGATGCTGGGGGGAAAAAATGCAAAAGGGAACATACCACAAGGGCAAAAGAGAAACAAGCAACTCAATCATAAGAGAAGAAAAAAAACCTCAGGAAGAGAAAACAAGAAAGGGCCAGTCCCTCCCAACTCAGCCCAGGGGACACTCACTGATCCCAAACTCTGTCTGCTCACTGTACTTCTCCAGGTCAATCTGGATGCTGGTTTTAAAGAAGTCCAACTTGGCCTTGAGCTGTTGAGACATGGAAGCCATGGAGTTCTTCATCTTGGACAGGCAGCTGTTATTCCGGAGCAGATTCATCCTGGAGGGACCACAAGAAACAGAACCATGGGGTGGTCTGGATCCAAATGCCATTTCCGGTACAATGACCAAACCCACCTCACATGCCAAGGCAGGTCCCTGGTCTGGTTACCACCCTTATACTGCCAACAGCCACATACAACCGCGAAGAGCATTTCCTAGTCCTCAGCAGGCCTGAGGCTCTGCACCAAAACTGGAAGGAGGCCAAGCACTACACAGACGGCCAATAACCCACACCAGTCCCCGCCTGGGGAAAGATTATGTCGTCCCCAGCACGACCATCAGGGAGCTTTCCTGATCCAAACTGCAGTGAGCTGCTCTAGGTCCCAGATGCTAGAATGCTCTATTTATGCTCCTGCTGCAAGGGCTAACCTCACTCGGCCTTCAATCCAGCCCAGACGACCACTTCCCACCCATCCAAACCAGTGTCTCCCTCTGGTCTCTCCCAACAGCCGCTTCTGGGCCCCTGCCTCCGCCCCCACATGGCAAAAGCCACCGAGCAATTTGAAACACGTTAAGCCCCAACTGCCCGGCACAATACATGGCAGCTCGCTGTCCCTGCTGCAGCCGGTTGCAGTCCTCCTTCAGCGCTTGGATGCTGTGCCAGACTTGGCCCCACACCTTCCTCAGCTGGAAGAAGGACAGGTTTCTCTTGGGCTCTTGGACTGCAACAGAGACACATGCAGCCGTGATTAGCCGTGTCCTGACTGTGACATCTGGCCTGCCCACGTTTTTAAAAACTATATAACCACTGTGCAAGTACATGAGGTTTGGGGAACTATACCTGCTTACTCCCTCTTACAGTTTTGTGCCCTGTTACAGTACAAGCATGTGGATACCTGGGGATCTGACTCCAAGAAACACTTTGTGAGCCACTTACAGGTTCAGAGACACTGACATGTACCAAAGTCTATTTTCAGTAGAAACTCTTATATTCGCAACATTTAAGATCACCTGAAGTTTTCTAAAAATGCAGCTTCAGCCAGCAGCACTGAAAGATGATTAGACAAGCAGTAGGTCTGGAGATCTCTAAGACTCTGGACCCTTGGTTTGCTCAGTCTGTGTACATGTGTGTGTGGGAACAGGAGTGGGGATGCATTAAAATGTCCACTAACAGCTATGTACCCACAAGGGGAAAATCTCCACAATGTATTGTTAAGTGAAACAGGCAGGTACAGAACAGAACACACTGAATGATACCATTTGTTTGGGGGGAAACTCATGAAAAGAGTTTACATCTATGAATAATTTATAAAAGTACAGAATATTCCTGGGAAGGTCTACCCAAGATTTTGACAGCAGTGAACAGTTCCCCTGGAAGAGGCTGGGGAATAAGGGAGAGAGGGTAGCCTATCTTTTACAGTACATTCTTTTGTACCTCTCAATTTTTTTTTGTTTCATAACATGTATTATTAAAATATAAACAAAACTTCAAAAAAATGGCCATGTGATTCAAGTTCAGTGGCTTACAGGCAGTAGGCTCTGTCCTCTGTCTAAAGCTCTCTCTCTGAGGTTGCGATGAACTGAAGACTCTCCTCTCTGGCTGGGCTACTACCTACATGTTCGAGTAAAGGTCGCCCCAAGGCTGGGCAAGAGTATCTCCTGGTGTAGGCCCCTCCCCGGGCCTCTATTTCTTCCTCCTGCCTTGTCCCAAGCACTGTAAGTGATTAAAAAACAAAACAGTGATGTTCTTACGGATACAGCTGACACTTTCAGGTTGGGGCCGTGGGGAGATCTGAGTCTCATACGTGATTTTACTGTTGTCAAAGAGAAAAATGAGGTCCATGTCCAGCGGGCGGCCTTCGTTCAGCTGCAAAGCAACAAGAACAAAATTAGATCATGTGGATCCCACCCTACCTTTGGCCAAGTCATAATGAGGAAACTTCAGAACATGTCCCACTGCTCACCACCAGCAGCACCTTCGGCCAGCAAGTCCTCCGGCCCATGAAGCCTTTCTGAATAACTCTGGCCTGTTTCCTCTTCCCATTTCTTTTACACTTACCCACACATACAGCCTATTTACAACTTAGTACATTCTATTTTATTATCTGATTGTCTTAACTGTACAACTTGTACATTCTGTGTACAACTGGTACATTCTATTTTATTCTCTGATTGTCTTAACTGTGTACAACTTGTACATTCTGTGTACAACTGGTACATTCTATTTTATTCTCTGATTGTCTTAACTGTGCAATTGAGGTGCTCGCTACCTCCTCCTTCCTGTCCAACGACCATGTCTCCTATGTTAACCTTATCGGGCCTCCTGGGGCAGGGACCAGTGTTGCCATGCTGCAGCTGTCAGCACAGCTGCTGTACAGAAGAGCCACGTCATAAACAGTTTTGGTTGGTGTGGAAGAAGGAAGTGTTGTTTTGGAGACAAAGGCAAAAGAAAGGCACTCTACATGGTCTGGAAGTCACAAGTCAAGCATGGAGTAATTCATGTCTCTTATTAGGCCACACAGGGGCTCTCGCATTCCAACTAAGGACACAGGCAGATACCTGCACGGGGTGATTAACAGACTGACAAAGACGAGTGGAAATCTGGGTTCATGAGCAGTCTGCTTGGGGGCAGGGGCAGGGAGCGGGCATTCTGCAATTAGCCAGGGGCTCACCTTGCTGTCTGAAATACACTGTGTGGCCGGCCTGTCGGCCATCAACGCCAGACCTGCTTCTTGCAGCAGCTCCTGGTCCTCCTCGGGGATGCCTGTGTCGTGCTGGATTCTGGCCTTCAAGCTCTGCAGACTCTCATCCTCTGTCACTGGGTATGTGTGAATGATGCCTGTGACCATATTCAGGATATGAACCAGCTGCAACACAACCCAGATGTTACTGGAAAACCCATCTTTCAGAGATGCCTATTTCCCTGGAATCCTGCTACTCCCACCATTTCCCAGCCCCACCAAGCAAGGGCCTACCTAGGGGAAGTGAGTCTGAGAGCCATGGTTCATTTATTCTAGTCTTCAATATTCCTGTTTGTCCACAGCGATGACCTTATGAGTAATGTTAGCACTGGGGTCCTGCCCTCCTACTTGTGGACCAGACACTCTCATAGGGGCCTAACTTTCCCCATTGGTCAGGCGGCCCAGGACCTGCTTTTTAATGAGCAAGTGTTTCTCCTAAGAACTGCCGTGTCCCATCACCTGGCCTGTGGCTCAAGGCTAACCTGGCTCCACACTCACCTTCAAGTTTAGAATGTCGTCCAGGGCCTTGAAGCAGCCGTTGGGCCCATACACTGGGTCGGTGCCCCTCTGCCGGGGCTGCCACATCAGCATGAGCTGCAGCCACTTCTCCAGCCGCTGGGCCAGGACGCTGAGAAGACGAGGAGCAGAGCACAGTGGGGGGACACCCCAGCGCCGTACGTGAGGAGTGCACACCTCCGTGCACTCCATTATACACACAGCCAACAGAGGATGACTGCAAGTGAATTGTCTGAGAGTAGAAGTGAACATTTCCAACCAAATTAATTGGGTACCCATCACTCTCTGGATCTGCTGAAACTCCTCTTAACCTGGGGCCTCTTAATGGGCCAGACGGACTCCAGCTGGCTGGAGGTGACAGCCTGTGAAGCCCTGCAAAGCCCTTCAGGGAATGCCTTACCTCCAGGTGGTTCCCAAGTGTCAGGGTTATTCTGTTCATCAGCCCCTTCAAAAGCACTTGGTGGGTTCCATGACGAAGTTCACCCCCGGTCCCAGCAAGGAGCCCCCCAGAGCTTCCTGCAGGTGCTTGCAACTGGCCTCTCCATCCTCCTACCTAAGCCCCTCACTGAGACCAACATCTACTCACCAAAATGTGCCTTGCTTTCCCCAGTCTTTCCCCTTTGAACTTGTTCATCTCTCCATGTCCTCCACCTCTTTCTAGATCCTTCTAGAAAGTTCCAGTTAGCTCATCAAGTCTTTCCATGTAAGTCCACACAACACCTCTCTCCCTGTCCTCTGAATATTCATGGTAATTATCCATGCCACTCAATGGTGTATGATGGCCTTGAAGCTCTCCTGTGTACTATTACCCAATTCTGCTATTATTATTAAACTATTCATATTCTGGCTCTCAGACTAGATGTAATACTGGTCAAATTACAAAGACTTGCCAGTTATGACACAGTATTAGGCTATGTAAGGAGTGAGAAATAAAGTGTAATTCCTACCTTGCAGAGGGTTACATGACTAGGATACAAACTCTAGGCACAACCGAATGTAATACAAGGTAGGAGCTTCTGAGGGTAACAAGTGGCACAGACACACTGTCATATGACTCAGAGATGATTTCTAGAAGGGGTGAAGGGTGGGAATCCTTCTCAGTTTAAGGTTGAAATAGATTATGGCAAGTTCTTGGTCACTGGATGTCATCCTGATAACCTATTTAAGAACTCTCAGATATCACTTCCGACATCCAGTTCTAAAAAAGGAGGAAAAACATGCAGAGGAGAAATGCCGCTGTGCCTACCTGTTCAGGTTATTGGGGTAGGGTAAAGAGCTGGAGAACTTCACCGCTCCATTCAAGTCTTCACTGACGACGATGTCCACCTCACTCTTCTGCCGGACTTTGGAATGCCTGCAACCGTGGGATCTGGTTGACTACAGTCCATCCTGTGTGTGGTGGTCAAGAGCCACTTACGTTTGTAACATACTGCTTTGCAACTAAATAGGCTCAGGGGTCATGGTTTAATCTTTTGGGACAACAGTGCATGTGTATCCTACCGGGATGGCTTCTCTGAGAGTTTAAGAAGAGTCAGTTCAGCTGACGGAGTAGAGTCATTAACCATCCTGTCCCCAGAGTCCTACAGACAGACAGCGCTGCTGACTCCTTAGCTCATCCTCAGTTTGTCCTTATCATTTCCTTTACTTTGCATTTTCTCTAATGCAAGTTCATGTTTTGATGAAGTGTAAAATTAGGACTTCCAAGCCAGCATTACTGCATGCGTATCACATTTACAGGAACTATGTACAAAATATGCACACAGGCATGCATTTCCCTCTGAATGGATATGGCTAAATACTATTTTTCATGATGAATGAACTTTTTCCAATTCAGGGAACTTATTGATGCATTGCAAATAGTATTTGAAGGGAAAAAAAATCTTAAACTGAACTGGTTTCAAATCTTCTCAATTACAAAGATAGTAACTTAAATTTGAGTAATGCTTCATAAATAATCAAGTACTTTGACCCTGAACATGAGCTTCTTGGCCATGATAACCCCAAGTGGCAGGGACTGTGGTCAGCCCCCCATTCAAAGGGAAGGAAATGATGATCAGATGATTTACCAAAGGTCACAATCAGGGACTCAAGTCTGATCTATGGTGTTCTTTGGACTCTGTCTGAATGTCTAATCTTGCCTTTTCAAAAACACCTCCGAAATTCAAATGAAAAACATGCTCGTTAGCCCTGAGCACTTCCCATTGGCAAGGGGTGAACTGGCCCATCCAGAGCACACAGGAATCCAGGGTGAGCTGGTATATGGCCAAGGCTGGAGGTTTTCAGCTCTTGCTGAAATTGATTGTGTTAAGTCAAGTGTGCCAAGACTTGGATATTACAGACATGTGGGTGATCCTCTAATAGAAAACAGTCTGTCATGAGAAGTTATAAAAATGAAGGGATGTAGTAAATGAAATGCTACTGCTTAGATCCTAAAATGTATTTCAAAGTAGCTTTATAATAGAATTAGAAGGTTTACATTGCATTTGTTGAGGGATCACAGGAAGATGGCGGCATGAGTAGTTCAGAGGAAATCTCCTCCCCAAAACATATATATTTATGAAAATACAATAAATATAACTATTCCTAAAAGAGACACCAGTGGATGTAGTACAACAGCCAGGATACATCTACATCTGTGAGAACTCAACATCACACAAAGGGGGTAAGATACA